TCTGATGCCCTGCCGGCACTGCTTCCGGCCATCCTTAAGCCTGGTTCAGGGTCCACTTAATGTGGACATGCTAGTTCGAATTAGCAAAACGCTAATTCAAACTAGTTTTTTAGTCTGGATCCGTTAATTCGAACTAAGCTAATTCGAACTAACTAATTCGAACTAAGTTAGTTCGAATTTACGTTGTAGTGTAGACGTACCCGGAGGAACTAATAGCAGAAGTAGAGGTGGGTGACAACCTGGGAAGCAGTTATCATGAGATGGTAGATTTCGGGATCCTGACCAAAGGAAGAAAAGAGAGTAGTAAAATATACACCTTGGACTTCAAAAAAAAGCAGATTTTTACTCCCTCAGAGATCTGATGGGCAGAATCCCCTGGGATGCTAACATGAAGAGGAAAGGCGTCCAGGACAGCTGGCAGTATTTTAAAGAAGCCTTATTGAAGGCACAGAAAGAAAACCATCCCGATGCGTAGCAAGAGAGGCAAACATGGTAAGAGACCGGATTGGCTTACAGGGGAAATCCTTGGTGAACTTAAGCACAAAAAGGAAGCTTACAAAAAGTGGAAACTTGGACAAATGACCAGGGAGTGGTTTAAATGTATAGCTTGAGAATGCTGGGGGGTTATCAGGAAGGCAAAAGAGCAAATGGAATTGCCACTGGCTAAGGATGTGAAGGATAACAAGACAAATGACCAGGGAGGGGTTTAAATGTATAGCTCGATAATGCCGGGGGGTTATCAGGAAGGCAAAAGCGCAAATGGAATTGCCACTGGCTAAGGATGTGAAGGATAACAAGAAAGGTTTCTACAGGCATGTTAACAAGAAGAAGGTGATCAGAGAGGGTGTGTGGGCCCCTATTGGATGAAGGTGGTATCATAATGCCAGATGATGTGAGGAAAGCTGAAGTACTCAATGCTTTCTTTGCCTCTGTATTCACGGACAAGGTGGGCTCCCAGACTAATGCACTAAGCGACACAAGATGGGATGAAGATGGACAGCCCTTGGTGGGTAAAGAACAGGTTAGGAACTATTTAGAAAAGCTAAACATACACAAATCCATGGGTCCGGACTTAATGCATCCGAGGGTACTGAGGGAGTTGGCAAATGTCACTGAGGAGCCTTTGGCCATTATCTTTGAAAAGTACTGGCTGTCATCTAGATGCTCTTTTTCTAAAGAGGCTTGCAGTCTAGATGTAGTCCTAATTAGCTGACCCTTATAGGAGAGGGCAGAAGGAACCTGGGTGGGATTGTGGTTTAGTGTTACCAGGGTCTGACTTGGGGAGGGAGGATGTTCCGCCTGCAAAGACTTCTGAGAGAAGAATCTAAGGTTTTGATTTCTTTAAGGCAGTTTAAATAATGCAACTAACCCTGCTGAAAACTGCTTCCCTGGCTTCCTTGAGAATGCTCCTACAGAATCATGCAAGGGAGTGAGCTGACTCAGAAAAAGCAAAGCTTGTCCTGGCAGGAGGAGGGTCCACAAGCAAGGCTCTTACTCTTTTACATCTCCATAGGGTCTTTACATCCTCTCTCCTTGTGAGTTCATGAAAGTGGAGGAGTACAAGGGATCTCAATAGGTCATCTAGTCCATTCCTCTGCTCTTAAGGTAAGACTAAATAGCAACTAGACCACCTGTGGCAGGTGTTTGATCTGCTCCTAAAATCTGCTAAAGATGGACATTCCACAACCTCCATAGGCAATTTATTTCAGTGCTTACTACTCTGCCAGTTAGGAAGATTTCTTAATGTCCAACCTAAACCTCCCCTGCTGCACTTTAAGCCCCTTATCTACAAAAGATTAACAAGAACTGTTTTTCACCCTACTCTTTTAACAACTTTTTCTATACTTGAAAACTGTTATGTCCCCTCCTCGGTCTTCTCTTTTCCAGACTAACAATGCACAGGTTTTTCAATCTTTCATCATACATTCCTGCACTTGGGATGGAAGAATCCCAAGCATTGTTACAAACTGGGGACCAACCAGCTAAGTAGTAGTTCTGCAGAAAAGGACCTGGGGGTTACAGTGGATGAGAAGCTGGATATGAGTCAACAGTGTGCCCTTGTAGCCAAGAAGGCTAATGGCATATTAGGTTGCATTAAGAGGAGCATTGCCAGCAGATCCAGAGAGGTCATTATTCCCCATTATTCGGCTCTGGTGAGGCCACATCTGGAGTATTGTGTCCAGTTCTGGGCCCCCACTACAAAAAGGATGTGGATGCACTGGAGAGAGCCCAGCGGAGGGCAACCAAAATGATTAGGGGGCTGGAGCATATGACCTATGAGGAGAGGCTGAGGGAGTTGGGTCTGTTTAGTCTGCAGAAGCGAAGAGTGAGGGGGGATTTGATAGCAGCCTTCAGCTTCCTGAAGGGAGGTTCCAAAGAGGATGGAGAAAGGCTGTTCTCAGTAGTGACAGATGGCAGAACAAGGAACAGTGGCCTCAAGTTGTGGTGGGAGAGGTCCAGGTTGGATATTAGGAAAAACTATTTCACTAGGAGGGTGGAGCAGAGGGGTAGACTTGATGACCTTTTGAGGTCTCTTCCAGCTCTGATTCTATGATTCTAAGGACAACAGTCAGAGTGGAAGGGCAGATGCCAGAAAGATGCTGAGCTCCAACATTATCTACACTATCACCTCCCTGTTAACCTGAATGATGCCAAGATGCCCACATCAAATATAACAGCAGGGAAACTGGGAGACAGGCAGGAAATTCATGGAAAGTGATGCTGCATCTGATCCAAGCTTTTGTGGATCAAACAACATCTACCCAGCCACAAGCCCCAAATAACCTGGGAGGTCTTTCCAGAGAAGGAGAAAAGATCATGTTCATTTCTATCTTCTGCACCTCAGTACTACAGATTGCACTAGTTGTTCCCATGATATGGGCCTGGAATTCTCTCAGCTAAAATACAGGTGCAGAAAAGCAGTAAACATGTTATTTGAGACCAAAGCTACTTGAGCAAAGGAAGCATAAGCAGAAATAGCATTCCTTTTCTTAAGCTGGGAGATGAGATGGGCAAGACAGGAAGAAATGAAAAGTCTGATATAAAACTTAGCCCTTTCTTTTGCATATGTGCAGAAGAGTCAAGAGAAAGATATTAAAAAAATGAAATGTCAATTTAGTGTCTGAATTTATTCTCTCAATTTTCTATAGCTGTCATCACTTGAGTATCAAATAAGTAGAATGTTTTTGAAGTCTTTATTTCTTCAACCACTAACTCCACAAGGTTTCAGACATTAAAACATTCTACTCAGTTTTTGTTCTGATATCACACCTGACTGAAAAAGTTATTTTTTTAACCTGGATAGTTATACCAGTAGAGCTTTCTTCCTTTTCCATATGGGAATAAACTATATCAGTTGAAGCACTTTTATACCCATATAACTGTGTCCACAAAAGGTACACTGTTAAAGTGGTCTAAACATACAAGTTGTATAAATCTTATGCCAAAGAAATTAACTCAACCAAAAGAAAGTAAAAAAAACTCCTAAAACACTACATCACAATCACAGCCTTTAGAGACCTCACGGGATTTTATTCTTCTACAGAGTAGATCATGCCTTAAAAAAAAGAAAGTAGGTTTTCTGAACAAAACAAGCACACTAGAGAGCTCACCATTGCGTTCTTCAGATCTAAGGCTCTTCTTCGCAACTTCTGCCAAGGCCCCAATGCCAAGACCAACAGCTAGTCCTTTAAAACAAGAGGAAAAATAAATAAATCGGTGGTGAATGAGCACAAAAATGCCATCTGTGTATGCTTAAGACATTTGATACACTCAAAGGATGCCAAGAGGTAACTTGTAATCAACCTCAACTGCATGGACTGCAGAAATATCAGCTTTTCCTACAAACAGGGGGAGACAGGACTTTGTGCATTTATAAATGATAAAGTAACTTGATTGGTAAAGACTGGCTTTTATGATACTAATAGCTAGAAAATTCAACACTAATCCATGTTTCCTAGAGCTCCTTATTCTCTCTGGCATGTCATGGCTATTTTTATTGACTAAAGAATTCTAAAATTCTCAGCTCACAAGGATGCTGTAGAACAGTGTTTCTCAACCTTTTTTTGTAAAGTACCCCCAGCACTTAGTTTTTAGACACACACAATTTGTTTCTACCATTGCAACACATTTGTTTAAACAACTTAATCATAGCTGGGCGGGCAATGAAATTCTTGGGTATAAAAAGTACAAAAATAAAGCGCTGTAAAATGTAAAACAAAAATTCAGTTTTCTCCAAATTTCTGTTGTGTTGATGTACTCCCCCAGACTTCTCTGAAGTACCCCTAAGAGTACTGGTATTACTTGTTGAGAAATACTGCTATAGAAGAGTGGAGCAATATGGTTCAATATTCCAGTTGCAGCCAGGCTTTTAAGTCATCCTGAAGGATGTCTATTTGGGAAGGTAGTTTATAGTGTTTAGTAGTTCTCAGAAAAGAAAAATCCTCCTGTTCACACTTCTCAAGGAAACTGCAAACACCTTAAGACACAGAGGTTGAAGTTTCAATAGTAGAGCCAGATGCTTAAGCCAAATCTAATAATAAAATCAATCCTAAGTAGCTCTAAATGCCAATTGTACCCAAGCCATAAACATGGTTTACCAACAAGGTCTGACTCTGTTGAAGCGGGCTGTTCCCAGGAAAGCTCATGATACCATCTACACCAGGGGTTCCTGCCATGGCGCCCACCTGGGCATTTATGTGCGCCCACGCCGACTATCAGAGAGAGCACATGCCACCGCGCAACAGCTGAGAGGGGAGACGCCCAGCATGCCATGACATCACGGCCTGGGACTTTAAATTTTAAAACCGCACAGCCCAGCTCCAGGCCCGACACGTGGTCTGGGGTAACAGAAGCAACTGGGGCTGGGCCCGATCACAGACTCAAACTGGAAGACAGAAGGGGGGGGAACGGGGGAGGGGTGGGAGAGGAAGGGGCTTGTGCTGAGGAGAGGGGGGCAGGTCAGGAGAAGGCACCAAGGGACAGCGTGGAGGAGAGAAACGCCAAGGGGCCAAATGGAGACAATGAGGAAAAGGGCAAGAGAAGAGGGGTCAGTGGGAGGGGGGACAGAGAGATGCTGGGAGAGGAGAGGGGAAGGTGCTGGGAGAAGGCTTGAAAGAAGGGGTGGGCATGAGGAAGGTGGGGATGGAGCAAGGCATGTGTGAAGGCACAGGGGCATGAGGGGAGTGGGGGCACAGGGAGGTGAGGAAGTGGGTATCAGGGAAAAAGAGAGCAAAGGGTGCAGGAGCAGAGAGGGAAGGAGGAAGCACCAGGAGGGTGCAGGGAGGTTAGGGAAGGTGCAGGTGCTAGGGGATTGTGGGTGTGAAGCAGAAGGGCAGACACCTGCAGGGGAGGGACCAGCACCAGAGGAGAGAGGCAGGGCAGGTGTGTAGAGGGAGGTGTTAGGAGAGGGGGTAGCTCACGTGATCAGAGTGGGGCTACTGGAGGAGTGGGCACAGGAGGGAGAGAAGGGCTGGTGGAGGGGGGCAGGTCTCAGGAGGGCTAAGGGCAGGAGTCAGGACAGCAGAGGAAGGTGAGAGGCTGGGGGGGCAGCAGCCACCAGGGGAGCTGATGGAGCAAGGGGAGGAGACATGGCAGCAGATGGTGAAGACATGGTGGGGATGGGGAGTGTGAGATTTAAAGGTGCCATGATTATTTTTTTGGGGAGGGGGGTGCTTTTTTTGGCTCAACATTTGGACATCCCCCCCCTTTTTATTACTGAAGAATTTTGTTTAAAAATGAATTACAATATAATTAAAATAAAAATTAACTAAATTAAGTTTCTATCAAATTTACCCAATTCACATTTAATATGAAAATAGCCTTCAATTTGCGCATTTGATGCCTTTTTTCTATTTTCTCTCTAAAGGGGGGCTGAAAAATTGCCAAATAATTTAATTAATACCTTTTACATGTAAAATTACCTTTTTATCTTATGGAGGCATATATTATGTAATATTAAATATGATGTTTTTCATATTATTTAATGTACAAATACAAAATAAGCCTTGAAAAACTGTTGGCACCTGCCACACTTTTCTGAAAACATGAATGTGCTATTGGCCACAAAAAGTTGGGGACCACTGATCTACATGTTTTGTTGGTCTTTAAAGTGCTACCAGACTATCTGCTGTTTTTTAAGTTTATCCTGTACAGAATAACTCGGCTACCTCCTGAAGGTTATGTAGGTGGCCAGTCTAGATCAGGTCCAGAGGCCACCCCTGAGGTTCCCCAGCTTGCCTGAATCTGGCCCCTGTGGCTCAGGGCTCCTCTCCTGGCCCACTCCTGCACTCTCCCTCCCTCTCAGACCCACACCCCAAGCCTGCTTCCCCATCCCACACACTGAACCCCTCACTTTTACCCCCACCACAGAGCTTAGGGTCCCACAACAGTTACTAGCCTGAGCCCCCCCTAGGTTCTGGTGTGTGAGAGGAATATGGGGAGTGTCTCAGTCGGGGGCCAAATTAGTGAGGGTGTTTTTTTGTTTTTTTTTGTTTTTTTTTGCGCTTCTCACTTGTGTGGCCCCCAACTGATTTTTCTGTGGGTCAGAACCCAAAAAAGGTTTCCCACACCTGATCTAGATCAGTGATCCCTCTGATCTTGGAATCTATGAATGCCACTTGCACTGCAACTGTCTCTTCAGAGCTTGTACAGCACTTAAATCAGTGCTCTCCCCACAAGGACTTCTAAGAATTACAGTGATAACAATGCTAGGCATATAGTTTGGCTTCCTTCCTTCATTCTTTCAGGTTGTATCATTTATTCTGGTGCTTGATATTAGCATTCATTAACTAGAAAATTGCCCTTTGCTCGTGAGGACTCTGCTTCCTTTACATATTCCTGTCTAAATCTTGTTGCTTGCTACTATTCTGCAGCATAATGCTTGTAATTGTAAGTGTGACATCTAAAAATAGAGGATTTTTTTTCATGGAAAGGTTTTATAATCAGAAAATGCTGATTTATCAAAGCAAGTTTCTGAAGTCCATGATAGGAAGGAGGCCACAGTGAATAATGCCCTCCTATATTGGACCTCGGAAACCTTCCCAACGAATTGGCATTTTCTGGTGACAAAACTCTTCTGAGAAAAATTCCTCTATCTCTATTTAGGAGTAGGGATGTTAGATATCAGGTAATTGAATAGTCGTGTAACTGCATAAAATCTTAGCAGTTACACAACTACTCTACAGTCCACTGAGGCGGGGCCAGCAGCCAGTGTGCTCCAGCCCCACTTCCAGGGAGCCCCCTGCTGTAGCAGCTCTAATCTTTATCAAATTGTGCCTGGTTGAGTCTATGTGTTTGGTTGAGAGAGAAAACAGCCTTGTTTTTTTAAACTCTGCTGTCAATAGCTGAGGTTTATAGCTATAAAATGATTTGGCATGAGCAAGGTTATTAGTCCTGTAACTCATCTGAGAGGTCTATTACCATTTACAACTTCAGAATCCTTACCTTTTAAAAACATGCTAAGATCCAATAAAAGGTGCTATTAAGTGCAGTTTTATTATTTAAGTTACGTGTTTCATCTCTTGTCAAATCTCTATACAAGAGGATAAAAGTTGAGATTTGCAGTGAACTGCCTTATCAGAATAAAATGTGAATTAAATTAAATCAGGCAAAGAAAAATAGTTGCTGCTGGTTGATGTTTAATAATAAGCCACTAACATGGAACTGCTTGTGACTATACCTAACCTTTCAATAGATGTTTTGGTTGTGGCGAGGTTAATGTATGAGAGAAGGTGGAGCTATGATCTGAGTGTTGAGTACATATGATATCAGTTAATCATACAGGGAGTTAGAATTAATTGGAAGGAAAGAGAGACACCCATTACCCCAAGGGGGTCAGCTGTTCTGCATCCATGTTTTGTAAAATGACACCAAAAACTTATTCTTCTTGGGAGCATGCTTGTGTACCAAAAACATAACCAAAGCTCTCTCCCAATACAGCCGTATCAGTTGTCCTTGTGCATCTATGCATATGTTGCCTGACTATTTTGTGTCACTGCATTATGGGAAACTATCCCATGGTGCTGAACAGAAGCTAGAGGACATGCGTAAGGAACATCTGCTCCACATACAACTTGCTAGTAATGTGTCCTGGTATATCCTGGTTGCAAACCTGGTAAGTAGGGTTGACTGGCTTGATTACCCTAATACTGCTGGGTTCCCAATTTACCCAGAAAAATATAGCTTATTCAACATCAAATCTGTTGATAACACTCCCATTAAGAGATCTGTTTTATTGTTACCCCAATTCTGAATTAGCCTCATTTTAACTGGACTTTACAATGTCCCAGTCAAAAGAAAGACCAAAAAGAAAGACCAAAGTCCAGATTCTCTCTCGGTTGCCATTGCTAATCAGGAGCAATTCTAGCACAGGCTTTTCTACACTTCCAAGTTTAAGTGCATCTGTGGCAGAAGCTGAATTCATCAGTGTGACCATGACACCAGTGCTGGGAGAGTGCTCTCCCAGTGTTCCAGATAAACCATCTCCATGCAGTGGCCAACAACATTGGGAGACTGCTTACACTGGTGCTTTAGAACCCAGCAACTTGCTGTGCTCAGGCAGATGTTTTTCACACCCCTGAGCGAGAAAGTGAAAGTGTAGACATACCCTTAGAAATAGTTTTTGCTTTACAAATTGTACAACAGATCAGAATCTAGCCTAGTTCTCTTCACCCTAAAAAGTTTATAA